GAAATGCAGCAAAGAGACAGCCTCCACTCTAAGGCAGGTATGTCTGGGCTGGCCAAAGGGACAATGAATTTCAATGGGAACTGGAGGCTTAATTCTCCCAAGCCTGACCGAACAGCCCAGCCTTCAAGATGTATCCACCAGGTGGAAGAAGCAATCGTATTATAGCTAAAGTGAGGCTATCGTAAAGCTCTCCCTCAGCTGCCCGGTGTGCCACACTGCTGGCTCCGTTCGGATGCTGACAATAGATTGTCTGCTCCTCCTGACCATTCTGCCTTTAACCTTTAGCCTGCAGGCTCTGCAGAAAACAGCACAAGCGTGTTTCAGAAGTGGCACAGCCTCCTCTAGCACACCCTGCTCATGCGCTGAGCTCCCTTTTCCTCTGGTTCTTGCCATTTATTTCCCTTTATTGAGCTCATCATCTGATCAGCCTATTCTTTGTCCTCCCTCCCCTCCCTCCACCTCCGGCATCAAAAATCCCCCTCACAGCAGGTAATTATTCCAGGTAAGTGTGCGACCTTCTTTGTCGCTCTAAGTGATCTGGGTGCTACCACAGTCACTACTGCTATGGCTGCGCTTCACGTATGCTAGTGGTTACGGCGCTGCTCACAGCGCGCCGCAGGGAAACCACTGTCGGGTGTCCACACTGTGCTCCTTGCGACAGAGGAGTGTGTCCACATGATCAGCTCCTGCAACGCCCCAGCGAGCAGTGCATTGTGGGAGCTACCCCCTGTGCACTGGGCTGCAGGGTGCTTTGGGAAGGGTTTGCAATGCCTCATGGGGCTATCGGTGTCACATCATGCAGGTTTCCCAGCCCTATTGCTCCATGGCCATCCTGCTACACTGACAGCTGGAGAAGGGGAGGAGAAGGGAGTGTGACAGGTAGGGAGTGTGTGTGTGTGTGTGTGTGTGTGTGTGTGTGTGTGTGTGTGTGTGTGTGTGGGGCATGCTGAGAGAGTGTTTTGGGGGATGTCGGCATACTATCTTGTAAGTTCTGACAGTGGCAGGAAACAACCCCTTCTGAGGCAAGGGGAAGGGAAAATCCCAACATCTCAGCCCCTCCCCACCTACCTTCCTGACTTTTTGCACAGCAGTGTCTCTCTCTCTCTCTCTCTCTCTCTCTCTCTGTCACACACACACACACACACACACACACACACACACACACACACACACACTCACACCTGCTTCTGTGTTCAACAGCATGAGCACTGCATCTGACTGGTTTGCTCTGTGAGCCGAAGCCAATCAGCACAGCATGCAGGCTGTCGGAAACGGAGCTCTGAAAGGGGATCTGTGAATGCCAGTAGGGCAGAGAGCCAACAAAGAGCAGAGGGGACTTGAGGGATTATGGGCCATTTCCGGAGGCCAGTCAGAATGCAACAATTGAAATGTCCAGTGTCCTGCACTGTATCCAGAGTGCAGCAAGCTCTGCGCTTGTCCTCAAGGTGGTTTACCTAGTGCCCAGCAATTGCAGAGTTAGTGCCACTCAGTGCCTTGCCAGTGTGGACAGCTCTGGAGTTACAGTGCTGGAAACTTTACTGTGCAGTCACTTGCCAGTGTAGCCTTGGCCAAATCACTCACATTTTTCATGCAAAGTTTCTGCAAGGGTGCTGAATGTTTTTCTGAAATCTGATGGCCGGACTTTCTAGAAGGAGAGAGCACCCACCACGCCGGTGGACATCAGTGAGACATCAGGCCTCAAAGGCCTTGCCTTGGTTGTCTGTGTCCTCAACAGCGTTCTACTGTGACCATCTTTCAGGTATCAATTCTCCGTGACGGTGCTGATCTACTTCCTGCCGCTCCTGGTGATAGGATGCGCCTACACGGTGGTTGGCATCACTCTGTGGGCAAGTGAGATACCCGGTGACTCTTCTGATCGCTATCATGAGCAGGTGTCTGCCAAGCGAAAGGTAAGCAGCTCTCCTGCCTGGTGACTGAATAATTGCAGGCATGCCAAGGCAATGGAACAACCTTGAGTCTATGGTTATTTCCTCTCCTTTGATCACACTTTTCAAAAGTGGTGACCAACTTTAGAAGACTTGGAAGTTTTCTGGGTGCACCACTTGACACCCAGGGTCCTTATTTCCAAAAGGGCTGAGATTTTCAAGTCAATGAGAGATGCTTTGGCATGGAGAGGCCACATCTGGAATACTGCATCCAGTTTTGGACCATCCCCTACAGAAAGGATGTGGACAAATTTGGGAGAGTCCAGCAAAGGGCATAAAAATGCTTCGGGGGCTGGAGCACATAACCTATGTGGCGCGGCTGAGGGATTTGGGTTTGTTTAGTCTGCAGAAGAGAAGAGTGAGGGGGAATTTGATAGCAGCCTTCAACTTCCGAGAGAGGCTGTTCTCAGTGGTGACGGATGGCAGAACAAGGAGCAATGGTTTCAAGTTGCAGTGGGGGAGGTCCAGGTTGGATATTAGGAAAAACTATTTCCGTAGGTGGGTGAGGAAGCACTGGGATGGGTTCCGTAGGGAGGTCGTGGAGTCTCCATCCCTAGAGGTGTTTAAGTCTCAGCTTGACAAAGCCCTGGCCGGGTTGATTTAGTTGGGGTTGGTCTTGCCTTGGGCAGGGGGCTGGACTTGATGACCTCCTGAGGTCTCTTCCAGCCCTGGGATTCTATGATTCTATGCTGGTGCCCAACCCCCTTGAAAATTAGGCCCAACAAAATGCCAGCCAGATACACAAAAACTCAGGCACCCAATAACGTGGCACTGAAGGCTTTGCTACCCAGTTCAAATTAAGGCTTGTGTATTGTTTTGGAGAGACTGGATGGTGGAGATAACTGGGAATGGGAGTTATTGGACATTATTGCAAGTCCATCCCCAGTCAGCAGAGGCCAAACATCATTAATATGGGGCAAAAGTGGGGGATACTTTGGGGTTCAATCCGTTTCCTACAGATGGGGATCCGCAACCCTCACCATTTTCACACCTAAAATAATCAACTCCCGTAGTTGAAAATCACAAGAGAAAGACGAAGCATTGAACAGAGGAGGAGACCACTACCTGACTCCTGGAAGTGGTCCCTTTCCAGGGCAGAGCTGAAGCACATTGGCAAGGCAGAGAGGAGACCTCTGTTCCATCTGGTTTCCTTGGTTGAAACAAAGGACTTCTCTTCCCACGATGGCCTTCCCCTCTCCCTTTCTCCCCCAGAGTTGCTTATGCTGGCTTCAGTTCTGTGGGACAGGCTTTCCTCAGTGGGCCCAGTGTAAACTCCCTCTGTAACCCGGTCTCGCTCCTATCCAGGTTGTGAAGATGATGATCATTGTGGTGTGCACGTTCGCCGTCTGCTGGCTGCCCTACCACTTCTACTTCCTCCTGCAATTTTTTAACCCAGATTGGTACCTGGAGAAGTTTATTCAACAGGTTTACTTGGCAGTCATGTGGCTGGCCATGAGTTCCACCATGTATAACCCAATCATCTACTGCTGCCTCAATGACAGGTAAGATATATCAGTCACCCCCGATAACTCAGCTACTGTTGGAGAGCAATGAAGGGGGCATGTGGGGATGGGTACGGAAGAGGACCCTAGACGTGGTAAGTTGCAGTGTAGCAGGGAGACAAAAGATCAGGGGTTCAAATT